TGCAATTAATTGCGGACGTCTTGTGAACTGATCATTGCGGGTTTGTTGATTGTCGTGAATCCTTGGGTACTTGCTCAGATTTTAATTATTCGCTGGAAGCTACTGAATTGCAGTGTTTCATGACGATTGATTCTTCTGTCCAGATGCCACAAATTTTTTAGATTTGTTTAATCATTTTCCTCACGAAAGTAAAACGTAATCATAACTAAGGATCTGTATAGATGATAGCAGCAGCAACAACAACAACAAGTCTTATCCCACTAGGTGGGGTCGGCTACATGAATCACACGACGCTATCATGCTCTGTCAACAACCCAGTCCTTAGATATGTTATTGACCAGGAGGTTTTATTCAATGACCTCATTGAGCGTTCTTCTCAGTCTTCCTCTGCTCCTTTTTATGGGACTCCATATTGTCTGATCGACCCTCTTCATCGGGGACTCTAATGGCCTTCTCTGCATATGTCAAAACTATCTTAAGCGATGTTTAATCTTTTTCTCTTGGATTGGTGCTACACTGACTCTTGTTCTGATATTTTCATTTTGAATCTTATTTTTTCTTATATGACCACACATCTATCTCAACATCCTCATTTCTGCTACTCCAATTTTGTGCTTTTGTTTTTTCTTTATCTCCCAACATTCACTATCATACAACATAGCTGGTCTTATAGCTGTCTGACAAAATTTTCCCTTAAGCTTCTTAGGTACTTTCTTATCATAAATAACTCCGGTAGCCTTCCTCTACTTTAACCAGCTAACTTGTATTCTATAAGAAATGTCTCCATTAATTTCACCATCCTTATGTACAATGGATCCTAGGTATTTAAACTTTGATACTTGAGGAATGATCTGTATAGATGACGCGTTCCTTTTTTCCTGTACATTTTCCCTTTATGGCTTCCACAAGGCAGTATAAATCACGGCACAGCAGTAAATTTAGAATTTATTTAGTCATAAGTTCGTTAAGAACTGCTTATACAGCTAATTTAATTCAATAGAATTACCCTTGAGCGTCCTTAACTGTCCAAGCTCCTAAAATGTATGTAAAACTGGTATTTCCTGTTATTGTATTCTCTGTATAGTGTCTCAGTATTCAATTCAAAGAGGTGTAATTGACAATTATTGATACTAGTTATCATTTTTTAAATGTAGCTTTAGTTTTTCTTCTGCCATACTACATTCCCTGAAGATGGTGGCGACAGCATTTTCTGGCTTGCAATTGGCAATACCTACAGCCTGTTTTTGTTCATCACAAAGATTTGCGGATGCAGGCGCTGTGGTTCTTGGTGGCAAGTCCAAGGTGGGATCATGGAATAAACTGGCAAGCGCATGTCATATCGCATCATTGCATCCTTTCCGGCGAAGCTTTACATCATCTTCCATAAGATTTGACAAAACATGTACAAGGGCAATGGCTGAGTCTAGTGAAAACAAGCCAGTGTCAGGACTGCCAATTGATTTAAAAGGTTATTCTTCTTTTTGCTGAAAAATCCTTCTGTTAAGTATTTTGTTTCTGCATACATGTCTCCTTGAAGTCTAAATTTATATTGTGACAGCATGAACTGCCCTTTCCTCTATTATCTATTTCATGTATTCCTAAGAATGTTGAACATTGGTCTGCAAGTTGCTCAGAGAACAAAAGCAGTAACCTCTCATCGATGTAACAAATTGTTCTTGCTGAATGCTGATGTAGAAGTTATTGAAAGATGCTCTTTGCCCCTAAGGATGGTGTGGTATACGTTGCTTTGTTTTCTGTCATATTTATTGCCTGTAAATGGCTCTTGGTCTTTTTGTCATAGTTTTTCTTTCACACAACTTAACTAGGAACCCCTTTTTTTTTTCCCATTTAGATGATATAAGTAATTTTCCACTGAAAGTAGTTATAATTATAGGTAAAAGGGCTTTTATTGCTGGCGTGGCTGATGACAATGGATATGGTTGGGCGATTGCAAAATCCCTTGCTGCTGCTGGAGCTGAAATTCTTGTAGGCACGTGGGTACCTGTAAGTCCATATGCAAATATGAAGGCTTTGTTTCTTTTTTTTTTTTTTTTGGGACATTTTTTTCTGTTTTCCAGTCCTTGTTTAATGATGTAATTACTGACCATAAAATGTTCTATAGGCTTTGAACATTTTTGAGTCTAGCTTGCGACGTGGAAAATTTGACGACTCACGCTTGTATGATGCCAACTGCTGTTGTTGAGTTAATGGTTGGTTATCTGAAGTCGGTGTACTTTGCTCATACTCAGTTTTTCAGATTACCCGGTGGTTCGATGATGGAGATCACTAAAGTTTATCCCTTAGATGCAGTTTTTGACAACCCTGCGGATGTACCAGAAGACGTGAGGGAGAAATACATAGTTCTTTTTCAAACTTCCAGACGCAAACTTTTATACGGTGTTATTTTATAAAAAAAATTGAATATTCTGATGCTTTGTCTGTTTTTGAACACTTGTGCAGATAAAATCAAACAAGCGTTATGCTGGATCCTCTAATTGGACTGTTCAGGTATACACCTTTGCATTGTCAAAATAATATTTTGACTGCCAACTTGATCTCTGGCCTTAATTATTCAAAAGTACAACTTACTATAAGTATGAGGATGAGCATTGTAATTTTGCCCCGCAAAATGATTTTCAAGATGTTTGCACGGCCTTTAACTCACATTTTATTTTTATCTTTCATCTTTTCCATGCTTACATCATAGGTGACTTTCTTTTGGGAAATGGATGTCATTGCGAAAATATGCTGTGCTGGGCTTGAATAATTGAATTGCATCTTTTGAGATAATATAAAAGTTTCACAATTTTTCAGTCACTCTAATGTATCGTTTCAGCTACTCTGCCCAATAAATTGTGAATTTTTATGTCATCTACTATGCTTTCTTTCTCCTTTACTTTTTTGTGTGGTCAAGCATCAAGCCTTTCTTTCTAACTTCATTTTCAAGTTATTTTTTCAAATTTAATTATATGAATTAATTCATCATATTACTTTTTTTTTAAAATATTTTGCTGTATACATTTAATTTTTCGTACTTGAGTGAAATGAACTCTTGTTCTATATTTCTCAGAGCAGGGAACTTTATCTTTAGTAAAGCATTCAGCCAATTAGTGATTTATGTACTGTCTTAATTTCCTGCATGACTGAATTGCAAGGTTTTGTTATGTGTCATGCGCGTCATTCTTATTTGCAGGAAGTGGCTGAATCTGTTAAAAAAGACTTTGGCAGTATAGATGTCCTCGTGCACTCACTTGCCAATGGACCTGAGGTACGGTAGATGCTCTAACAAAGTTTCTTTATGCTTTTTATCTCTGCGTTTAACAAGCAGTCAATACTCAATTTTGTTATAGGTGAGCAAACCATTACTGGAGACATCTCGAAAAGGATATCTTGCTGCATTATCTGCATCTAGCTACTCTTATGTCTCTTTACTCAAGCATTTCCTTCCCATTATTAGCCCAGGCATGTATCTTATTTAACATGGCTGCCATTATATTGCTTCTTGCTTTGGTATATCATTTTCTTACCTTTCTGTTTTGGTTGTAGGTGGATCTTCAATCTCTCTTACATACATTGCTTCAGAGAGGATTATTCCTGGGTGTGTTAATTATGCCTTGAAGAGTCTGTAATTATTATTGTCCTGATTTTGGTGTGACTCTATCGTTCTTGAACTAATTAATAGTAATATGCAGATATGGTGGGGGTATGAGTTCTGCAAAAGCTGCATTGGAAAGTGATACACGAGTAAGTGTGTAATCTATTTTTGGTATTTTTTGTTTGTTTGTTTGTTTTTTCCTTGCCTCTGGATGTTTGAACTTTTATATAATTGTATGTTCTTTCAGGTGCTTGCTTTTGAGGCGGGCAGAAAGCACAAAATCAGAGTCAATACGATATCTGCTGGTACTTGGGACAATATTTTTAGCGTGATATAGTTTTTCCTTTTCTATATCTAATGGGTCTTAAGATTGCTATAATTTGTCAGCCTCAAGTGAGTCAAAGATTAAATAGCAGCGGGCGTCTTGCTTTCTACATGAGCTATTTCATGAAAGGGCCTATGTTAAAGAATTTGATTTTATATTGCATGGACTTGCCAGATTCTATTATATGCTCACAATCTCCCATATATGTTTGGACTTGATTTGCATTAAGATACAGGCGCCTAACTTACTGGCAACATTTGTCACAACTGTATTTTTTGCTTCAATGAATACATATCGAGTGTTATATGAAACTGAATCCTTACAGAAAAGCATGAATTAAGCCCTCATGAAGTTTATTTCCATTCATACTATTGTATATGTCGCTCCCCTGCTGATGTAGAACTACATTTAGGTCCTTTGAGAAGTCGTGCTGCAAAAGCAATTGGATTCATTGACATGATGATTGATTACTCAATAGCGAATGCACCCCTACAGAAAGAACTATCAGCAGGTAATATTTTCATTTCCCTTCAATACTCTTCCTCATCGCATTGTACAATGTCTTTTTCCTGTCACGACTGAGTTAAAATTTCATATGACAGACGAGGTGGGCAACACAGCTGCCTTTCTAGCATCCCCTTTGGCATCTGCCATCACTGGTGCTGTTATATATGTGGACAATGGCCTCAATGCGATGGGCGTTGGAGTTGACAGTCCAATTTTCAAAGACTTGGATATTCCCAAGGACCAACACTAAATCCCTCAACTAGGAATCCAGGAGTTGATACTAGCTCCCCCTTTCTATTTTCCCCACCCCCAGATGTCGTTAGCACCGCCCCCCAAAAACAAAAATGAGTATTTGCTCTTTTTTAGGCTCCTTTGTTATTTTTCTCCCATAAGATTTCTCCCCCACCTGTATTGTGTTGCTCAGCTGCGCAAGTCCCGCAATTATGACCATCATAATCTATACATTGATTCCATCTGTTAGTGCAATTTGTGTTGGCTGAATGCCTGAATCTGTATATTTGTTTTCATCGAATAAAGTTAGCTGCTGTAATACGATCTTTGCCAGCCCAAAACTGTCATGCCGTAGTTCGTCATAAATTTATTGAATCTTTAAAAAAATATATAAATAAAAATGTATTCCGAATAAATTTTATTCCCATTATAGTCTATACATTGCAGGTTTGTTTCCGTCGAATCATTTACATGACAGAAACAAATAAACCCACGGGAGACAGGAGCTAAGCAGCAAAGATGCTATGGTCGGAAAATTCGAATGGTTTTAGTAACCTGGAGCCTACAAAATGGACACTTTGATACTGCAGAACAGCATCTATGACAAAGCACATGACCGCAAGGCACTATTGTGATATTAACTTCAGCAGTCAGACAAACCCGACACAGCCATGCTGCCTTTGCTGTATCAGCCTCTTTTGTCGCCGCTTCAACCCTTTCCTGTACAATTATCATAATATAACATGTCATCTCAGAAATGAAATGCGGTTTTACACTTTAGAAGAAAACAATTGAGCCAGGTATCACTTTATTTTCACACGAGTGAAGACATGACATGCATGTAATGAAAGCATTTATTCCATTAAAAAATTACACCAAAAAGGAAACCATTGACGAGTTCTCCCAAGTACTAACAAGTTCCCTCTGAATCCTCCCAAACTTGGGTAGATTATTTCAGTCCAAATATTCAACAAATACGTGATACCACAAACGGACCAAACAACTGCAACTAACTTTCATTAACTTCATTCCAAATCCCCTAACTGTAAACAGAAAAAGCGAACAAGTTAAACCATTCATTCCCAAAAGCATAGGGACAGGCAATAATTAAGACAGCCTGTGATATGATAAACCTTTTGACTGCTGAAGTTTCGCCGTATGTGTCCATTTTAAATGGTCAATTCATTCCACAGAATTGTAATTGATATGAAAGTTTAATGGAAACACTTTTTAGCACTAGTCGAGAGGACTAGGTTTGCAGAGATGTCTGGTAGAAGATTCGACATCTTTTAGATCGATCTGTTATATGTCGCAGATCATTTTTTTGCGTAGGGGCATGCCCCTTTTTATATAATTTTTTATTAGAGGAATAGAATTCTTTAAACTTTTTTTTCCCAAAAAAACAAAGGGTCAATTCACTCAAAAACAAACATAATATTACAAATTACAAAAGACCAACCTGCTCCAATAGGAGTGCTGCTTGAGATTCTCTGAGATTTTCTTGCAAAGCTATTGTTCTCTGAAGTAAAGCCTGCTTCTCCACATCAATATTCATTCCAGCAGCAGAGAGTATCTCATTAACCGCCTGCACCAGTTCTACGGCTGAAACTTTGCCATGCTGGACTTCTCTCGTTGGCTGCAGTATTCAGTTAAAGCATATCAAGACACGCAAGCAAGACAGAAGATGTCACAACACATCAAATACAAATAGGATATGAATTATGAAACAGTTAGTTCTTGACAAAATTCTAGATTTCCAAAGAGAGGATTCCATACAATTCAAGAAGTTGAAAAGCTTGATCTGGCTTATTTGTTTCTCTCTTTTTTTCCTCCAGTTTTATATTTTAAATACTTTACGTTTACATATACCTAAACAAATAAAAAAGAAACTACTTCCAGTATATTGATCAGAGAAATCCCAATCAAGCCTCTGGAGAAGTCTTCCACACAACATACATGAAAAATGGGTTGCAGAAGTAGGCAATCCATAAGAAAAAAACAATAATAAGCAGCAAGCCCATAGAGCTGAACCTGAGAGATGCTTCTGCCCCTTTGCGCACTCTCTGAAACCTCAACATGAGGCCTGTTACTGCTTACTACAAGGCTATCACCTACCAAGGTTTCTGACAGAGGACTGCTTGCTGCTATACTTTTAAATGAAAAAACTTGAGAAGAAAGTAGAACTTGGGTAACGCCTGGAGCAATTTCAATCTTAAATCTGTATAAAGCTTGGCCTGCTGATGGTCTGACATCCTCAGGAACTTTGCCATATTTTAGCTTCTCTCCATTTTGAGAACGCCAAGCCACTATTTCACCTGAATAAAAAGGCCTCAACGGATGGAACTGAATAAGACGAGCATCTTGAGGCAATATTTCTTTTCCCACCAAATTACTGCTTCCCCTTCCGGATTCAACTTCTTTCTTGTCAAAGCACAGGTTTAAAGCATTAACAACTGAAATCTCAGATCCTTCAGGACAAACAAATAAAGGTCCAATAGGCAATACAGTAGGAGAGCCTAAAACCTGGCTGACAACAATGGCAATGAGATCAAAAATCGATACATAAGCTGGTGGTTCTGCAATTAGAATACGGGTTTTTGATTTTTTCACAAAATAAAGAGTCTGATGTACAGATTCACCCTTCCAGTCTGGTATGATAAAGTCTTTACCAACACGAGTAATATCAACTAACTTGGGCAAGAGCAAAAACCTCGTTTTAAGATTTGCAACAAATTGCAGATTTTCTGCAGTTGATTTGAGTAAGGATTGTATTGTATCCAAAGCTAAGTTGTTAACCGCAGGAATGTAACAGCCCATGCTGTTAACAATGGTCCATACAGCAACCTGAAGCGAAGTGCTTGATAATTTCTGTTTGATAGTCACTAGTGAAACGCACCCCACAGAATCTAAAGTCTGCAACTGCTCATTCTCATCAAGTTCCTAAAAGCCCAAGCAGAAACTTTTCCGGTAAGTAACAACTCTGTTAACAAACTTGGCAACAAATAAAATTTAATAAAATTAAGAAAGCATGATAGCGAATTAACTTGAAAAGCAAATCAATATTTGAAATCATGCTACCTCTAGAACAACTTCGGACAACTTTTTAATGCCCAGCACACTACATACTTGCTCAGAGAGGTCTGGGTGGACAAATCTTATCTTGGAAATATCAATACATTTGATGTATCGAGAACCACAGGAATCAATATAGACACATGATGTTGAATGAACAAGCCTGCAGCCATCATCAGGAACTATGGCTTCAGATTTCCAGTTAGACCTATCGAGTGTGTTTCCCTCAATAATCTGATCACATATAAAATTCAAAATTTCCATCACAGCCCGTAGCTCATTTGGATTTAAATGCTGATATCCACAAGCTTTCTGAAGATTTAGGAGAAGATCCATTGCAGAAGAAAGGGTCAGTGTCTCCTGAAGACCCAAATCTTTTAAAATCTTCACAAATGGTAGATATACTGTAGGGAGCTCAAAAGCAAATGGAGATAAATTGATAATCAAACGCACAAAAAGAGCACTAGCAGTCACCAGGCGTGTTCCATTTGCAACAGGCAGAAATGCCACTTTCTGTAGCTCCAATAGATCTGCGGAAAAAAGTATTAGAACTTTGACAATCAAGTTAGGTCACTATAACATTAACACCGTTCATGTTGAAGCATCAATTTGATTCTGCAAGTTTTTCTGAAGATTGGTTTATAAAATTTGCAGTGATAAAAATATTTAAAGAAACAAATATTGGGGATCTCAGTAGCTCAGCATTAAACATGTTAAGCACCAAGAGCATAGCAGCAATACGTAGCAAATGGAAACCAATCTGCGTCAGACTTTGTGTAAAACCAATAATGCTTTTTTCACCCACCCTGGCCCACCAGATAAAAGCCCAAGGACACTTAATCAAAATGAGAAGTCCATGACAGAAGGAAGCCAAGGGAGTCACCTGAGGAAGAAAGGGAACCCCAAAGTTTCTCTAGATATTTCAAGATCTGACAAGTACATTGCTCAATGTTCATTCCTGATGCAATGGGCCAGTGAGCTAGGGTATCTTCACCTCCATTTTTCCCAATTTCCTGGGGCAATGACAAATATTTAGATAAATAATGCAGTTAAATAATTAAAATAGAAGTGTCATTTTTTACCTTCAGGTGCTTTAAAACCATGGAAAAGGGCGGAGGACTCCTTAAATGGAGAGCTCCCCAAGAATACTCTGGAAGAACAATCTGTGGTCTAGAAAGAATGGGAGCACAACTCCAAGCAAGAGGCCAATCTTTAGACAAAATAGCTTCACTATATGAAGCAAGTACCCTCTTGCAATGGACACTTGGAAACCCCAGCTCAGCAGGTACACATGCAATCCTGCCAAGAATGTCACAGAAGTTGTTGCTAAAATAGCGAGCAAAGTTTGAGGAAATAAATTCAATAACAGATCCTGCCAGCATCCAGACTTCCCTTGAAACTTCCTTATTTGTATTGCTCGAGTCTGATTCAAAATCATCCATATCACTTGATTTCAAGCACTCATTTCCAAGAAACTCAACTCTTCTAGCACAATCAAGTATTACATCTACTTCAATAGCAGTTCGAAGGCCAAGTTTCCTTAATATTCGAAGCCACCCATCTGTACTAAACCTTTCTCCTGGAAATTTCGTTCTCTCACCAGAGAAAATAGAGATCAACAGAGCATCACCAGGATCAAAAAGGTCTTTGGGTTTTAGGAGATCTGTTGAAAATTCATCTGAATTTTGCACAAATTTAGTTTCCATTAAAGTTTCAACAACTGACTGATTGGCTTGAAGATCATGCCAATTCGTATAAAGATGTAACAATATGCTCTCCTGCTCATTTTGAGGTTTCCTGTCAAAGCCAGGCAAGCCAAAGCGTACTAAGATCTGTTTGTCATGCAACTCCAGCACCCCAAGGGCTAGAAGAAATGAACTTTCAATTGAATCTGTGGCATAAGCAAGACAATGCTCATCATATGGTTTAAGAAACGAATGTGAAGGGATTATACATTGATCTTGACCCTGCAACTTAGTATAAGATCCAACAACTGTTTTATATATAGGCAGAGAACGTAAAACCTCAATTTCTTCTCGAGTAAAGCTGGAACCATTTGAGAACTCACTAGAAAAAAGGGAAAAAAGATCATCACAACATGAAGTGGAAAGATTAGTAGGTTCAGAGAGATATCCAGCTTGCTTAACTGCCACGAGTTTGGATGCAATAACTTGGCCAAGTGATTGACCAGGCATAGGAAAACAATTGCATGAAGCAGCACAGTCCATGAATGCTACGTCAAATATGGGTATATTACACTGGTTTAACCAAGGAAATAACCAAGGATACCTAGTTTTGGATCTTTCAAAAGCAGAAGTGTAGGATTCAATTAACTGAGCTTCAACAGTATTACCATCAGATGCTTCACCCAGATAACTGACGGCTGCTTCTCTTTCTAAAACACCACTTGTCAATGGTGGATGTTCCAAGGGTGGAATGAAGACCAGTTGTCGCTCCCTTACCCGGCATAAAACTGGCCTACCGAGAAAGGCAGGAATTAAGGGCCAACTTGAAAAAAGAGATAAATCTTCTTGTGAACCACTTAAAGTTTTCCAGAATGTTCTAATCCATTCAGGGGAAGGACCGCCTTGATCCACAGAACATGGTAGTTTCTTCCATGAAAGCCATGGAACCATATTTGATCCTGTTACATGATTCACCCAATCTTTGTGGAAAATTAGCTTCATATGATGGGCCAGAAGGTGAAGAGAGAAATTCTGTAACTTCAGAAGTGCCTGGATAGTGAGATTAGAGAAAAGTTCGCCGAATATTGGTTTGTCTAATAGTTTAGGATGCATAAACTTTGCTCCCAAGGGAACCATCAATGATTGCTGCTCCTTATTCCCAACCCAAAGTTCAGTAAAGCCCAATTTTATCAGATGGTTAGTAGCAGTTGGACATGGTAAACCTTTGAGCTCTGTAACAATGGATATAATTTTCTGGTCCCTATTTTGACCGTCTCCTGTCACAGCGTTCTTGTGAACCAGGGGTCCTCCTGCTCTACCAATATCTTCAACAACACCCCGCCCAAAATCAAATAAAGCCTTCCCTAAACTTGTCATCATTTCAAGTGCATCTCCTGAGCTGGCTGCACCTTGGGTGGCAGAGCTAAAGGAGTTAGGCATATTAGACTCTGGATGAGAACTGCTTCTGACATCAGTTTGTCTGGAACCGATTGTGACATCATCGGTTTGCAGAGAATCTGACAAGCAGTATTCAAGAACATCTATATACATGTCAACTGACCGTAATACAATTGATGTTGAAGTAATTTTTAGGAGATCACGAACCATTTTAGGTCTAATTTCACGAACAGGAAAACCCACAGCTTGGATTTCATTTACCAATTCCCATGGTACTGAAAATACAGGATAATGCTCTTTTACAAAGCTACAAACTGTAGCCGGAAGTATACTACCAATCATCCCATTCCCAGGTTGTGAAAGGAACATACCTTCTTCAGCCTTGACTAAATTTCCTGAATATAGTTGCCATACTGGAAGGTCAACAATACGGGAATAAAACGGATGCATCACCCGTTCTTTAAGGCATTCCCAATCTGCTTTGAGAATGGCTGCTGAACTTGCAGGAGTCGTGCTGCAATCACTAGGTTGATCACTCAGAACACCAGCCTTAGAACATGGCCAGAAGGAATAGATCTGATCTCCATAAGCCTTCATAGAGAGATTGATTGCAGGATAGGCACTGGAGTCAATAAAAGAACTCGGAACATCTTTTCTTAACTTCTGCATTTCTAAAACCATCTCAACGTAGGAGTCACAAACACAGGACATCAGCTCTCTGTTCCAAGATTCAACCAACTGATTTCCAGCATCGACATGTACATCAGCTAATGTTTCCCTGTCTTGATACTTAAAGAGGAAACGACCTCTGTTGTGACATACAAGGAAACACCCTAGGACCGTAACAGGCATGTTTATACAACCAGACAAAGGAAGAGGAGACATAATGGAGCTCAAGGAGAAAGGATTGGAGTGATGGCCATTTCTTGATATAAGTGCAGCAATTCCAGCAACAGGAGTCAAGTTATAGGCAAGATATCGCCTGAGAAGAAAAAAGTGGATGCTTAAATGATAAGTATCATTTGGCCGAAAAAAAAATTAGTGTAATTTATGAGGCACTGAAGTTTAAAAAAAAAAAAAAAACGAAATTTGTTGTCTCAGACATTTATCAAACATTCATATCAGACATGACATGCCCTGCACGGCACTCCGTATTAAATGGGAGTCATGTCCCATGTCTCCGTCAGCATCCATACTTCCTAGGATGTTATCAAACAAACCACATCAGATCAAATAATTCATTACACGAGAAAGAACATTACAAGAAGGCAGACAAAGTATCCCATAGACAGGTATAATGAAAAAGAAAACAAGACCAAAAAGTTGAAACCAGAGTTTCCCTTTCCGTCAACAAGCCGCCTTGTTCCAGGCACTAGGTAAAAGCTTAGATGAATTGATGTGAATGAGATGGCATCTGCCTTTGAAAATTGTGGCACTCCTGTGAACTTGAATAATTACCAAAGTGTAGAAAGCATCATGCATCTGTGAAATTTCTTCCCCTTGTTTTCTTCTTCCGTCCTTAGCCTATGGAACTAGTCAAAATGACCTCAGCGAAGCTTAATTTGTTTGGCAATCGTGATAGTCAATGTAATAGCATAACATTTTTTATTTTGGCAAAGGAGAATTTAAATCCTTTTTTGTAAAAAACTGGTTCCTTTTTACGAACAAGTGACCATAACTTGTCACATTATTAGCAGACAATGATGTTATTGAAAAAATGACGCACATGGCTTATTTTCATTGGAGAATCTAATAGCAAAGATACAAAGAATCGAGTTTTTAAGTTTTTTCTTCCTAAATCAAAAATTATGGAGCAAGTCATTATAAGACATGAACAAGATAATGTCCACTACATACTTTGCATAGAATAATACCTATCAAGAGCCATATTTCTTGTTTGTCCAGAACCCAGGCAGAGTACAAGAAGCCACCGATCGATGGTTGTAACTCCTTCAGAATATGAAGTCACATCTATTATATGCATCTTAATAGCAGCATTAGAGCTGCTAAATAATCGTGATATTTGGAACTTCCTCCATTTATTTTCAGAAAAAGGATTTCTCATAAGAGCAGATGATGAGTCAATGCAAACTGAATAATTCTGGCATGGACGTGAACTTCCATCTTCCCATGTCAGTATTGATACCTGAGAGCATGAAAATTTTAAAAGATCATTAGAAGTCTGATGCTGACAGAACAGGTTTTATCATTGACCATAGGTCAACCACAGCTACTGCACATGTTTGGAGAAATCATATAAGAGAAGCAAAACAAGAAAAAAGGAGGAAAAAGTTGTTCAAAACTTGCCACGACCTAAATTTTTAGATTTATAATCTTGTGATTGTTTCAAAACTATTCATATAACTTCTAGCTGGAACAGTCTCAAAAGTTACCAGAGGAATCCAAAACCCAAATCCTCCTTATAGATTAGAATTTAAAGCACAGACCAAGACAAATCAAAATAAAAATCAAATCCATTTAAAATTCCCTCAGTTATCAAATCTCTCATAAAAGTGAAAATTCCATAAAACATTTGTCTTGTGAAATCTAGATCCTAGGATGGAGAATCAAACCTACAACTTGGGAAAACCTTGAAAGGAATGTTAACCACTCACAGGTCCTCCCCAAGATGGACAGCAAACCATCACCTAGATTCAAAGCAAGTGATTGCCAGCGCACACCAGTATATCATAGAGAATGAATTTCAAGTAACATGAATAAGGGGTAGAAATCACTAGATTGGCATCCCACCCATTCTATTGCAAGTTCTACACACACTGAAATGTCCAGTCTTGTAGTTAATTTGACTCCCAGTGAAGGATCATAACCATTTTTTTCCACTCAGTGAATTGTACTTTCTAAAAACACCTTTTGAACAAAGTAGGCAAATGAGAAAATGTTTTTCAAAAGACACTTTCGGATGAAGTGGTATCCAGGATATTATAAACTCTTCGTGTCGAGAGCAACTTTAACCCAAAAGTATAAAATATCAGGAGAGGGCCCATGAATATTTTATTTCAATGTATATATCAAAAGAAGTACCGCATATGAAAGCCCTCTGGGGAGAAAAGGCACAAGTTTCCACCCAGAGTAAAACTATAATTCTGATTAAGAGAGTGGAGTAGCAAAACCAAACCCATTACCATTTGGTCATGAAAAACTGATAAAATGCTGACAGAAACTGATAAAATGCTGACAGTCATTTATCCTAAAATCTTGAGCTATTGTGGGAAGAACCCTTCATGGTTTTGATGTGTATTTCTAGCCCAGCAAGGTCAAACGCACTAAATATATCCTCAACAGAAAATCATTACCTGCAAAACTGACTTCAAAAGAAGAAGTGCTCTTGATCCATGCTCTATAAATTTGTCAATGATTTGCCTTAACCTGTTTGATCCCAGGTTGGATCCATTCTTCAGACATTCAGATGATAGAGGCATTCGGATGATGGTAGAATCTGATGATGACCATAATTCATTCTCATTGATGAGCATTGGACTAAACTGATCACTAAATCGTCGTGTGAGGTCAGTACCTAAAAGCTCAATAATAAAGATGTCAAAACTCTATAATTCTAGACAAGAGGTGAACATTGCATTTCAAATTAATGAAACATCAAATATTTTCACATTTTCAAAATCAACCAGAAAAATGCCCTTTTCTTTCATAGACAAACTATCAAGAAAAGCGACAAATTTTTTAAGAAAAATGAACATGACAACCTCCAAGAAACACAGTAGGAAACAGAACTCCAAAGGAAAATATCAATACCAAAAAATTTCAAATTTTCTAGAATATCTAACAAAAGCACCTCTTGTGAACAACCATTAACTAAGAAACTTAAACCCAAAAAACAAGTATATGCTCCATATAATTTACTGGAAAAGTTCTTTGCGTATCCCACACCAACCAACGAGCATAGTAGCTGAAAGCAAACACTGAATTTATGATAGAACAAGTTTGCATAGAAGAGGCACAGAGAAAGCAAAACATTCTAATAGACTTCTGAGTACTAACTACGCAGCTAATGTGAAGTTGGAAACTTTGTTTGTAATGCATTAGCAGCTCAAGACTCAACTCTCTCATTAATAATATTAATAACTATAAGATCAAACAAGAAATATTGATTTCCATGTTTCCTTGCTGAGTCTAGTCAATTCCGTCTCTTAGCATTTGTTCCCTTATTTTTCTCTGGAGATATGATTAGTTGAGTTTTCTCAATGCCTGATTTTGTGGTATTTGATTGATCAATCTTCTATGGACATCTTCCCGTTGGTCTAAACTTATTTCGAAGGGGACATTAAGCTCATTGCTTCCCCATGAAAAACTTAATCTAAATAAGAAGGAATTGAACGGGGCTAACGCCATATATTAAGAATACTTAATTTCAATATGCATCGCAAAGAATAACAATCAACTTAATCTAATGAAAAATTTAAAACATCTTTACGTTTTTGTAATTATCATAAAACGTGCTACCAAATTTTACCCCTGTTTATGCAAAAGAACAAACGGACATAAACAAAATTTTAGCTCTTAGTAAGAGTGAGTTGCCCTAAACTACTATTAGAACCATCAGGCCCTGCCATCCAAGAGTGTTGGAATGTTTTTCCATAAGCAAAGATCCATATACAACTATGAATAAACTAAGAGTAACAGCAAAATTGCAAGCAATAATCCAGTAAAATTCAAAAGGAGGTTGAAAAAGAATATAAAGGAAGCTCATTTAAATGAATTTACACGATGAGGAATATGTTGGATACCTATTAAGGAAAACATTTTAGCTGAAGGGAGAGATGTCGAAGGTGCAGCAAGTGACAAACCACGAGGATCAAACATGTAAAAGTAGCCACCAGATATGATTGAGAGGAGGACGCATATGGAATAGCAACAAACCAACCCTAAACCATAATAAGTGTGTTGCCCCGTATTCTCCATGGAGGAAGGAGCTGGAGGTTACTAATTTCATCTCTGCTCAAGCAGGCTCCTTCAAAGATTGCTACAAGAGCAGGCCCTTGGAATTCCCCTGCATAAATCACACCATATAAAACAAAAGAACAAATTAGCTGCTCAGTATGCTATGAAATGTTTCATGAACCCTAAAACTTATTCTACAACGCACAGCATGAGTAATTAACATCTGAGCAACTGCAGAGACATTTTATTGCCTTTGGTTGCAACTGAACTATAGAAGGTGTTCAATTAAAAGTTTCAACAGTTTGCCAAATAATATGAATGTGTGGTTATCCGGTAATCAATATTAATTGTAATAATCAAATGTGATTAATTTAGGATTGAGTCAGGTAATGATCTTCAGAGATCAGATGGCCATTGTTAGGGAATTTTGCGTGACTGATTTTATTCTAATTGCATGAATCTTTCTTGGAATTCATGTTTCAAGTGTATGTAAGTCTTGACTCACTGTACAGCATCAACGTCAATAGATTTGGCTCTTTGATTGCAAAACTGTAATTAAGTTTAAAATATGTTTTTTGAGGAAAAGCTAAACTAATGGGAGAGAAAGTTAAGAATCCCCCAAGGACGAATAATATTTTTTGGAAAAGCATGGCATCAGGTAAAAAATAAAGCCAATAGGTCCAAAATTATGAAACTTCAATTATGTTTTCTCATACAATTAAAAAAAAAAAAACAGTGTGCAATAGTATTACCGGCCCCTAAAGATCCCAAAAACCAATCATGTGCACCTTACTACCACCGCCATGTTATCTGACAAAATCTAATTGAAGGGAGGTGTTCGTCATCAATTATCGTACTAGAAATTGGAGAAAAATTCATACAAGAAACTTGAGCTGTCCAAATATTGAGACCAATAAGGAACAATAAACATCAATAACGAAATTACCTAAGTTGTGTTGCAGCAAAGACTGGCAGGGATGTTCCCTCTTATCATAAATCAGATGCAATTTCTTGGCTTTGCAACAATCTGCCAACTCAAGAAGGTCAAACAACAAAAACTCCTCATTTCCATACAAGGCCAACAGCTCATTTACTTTATCATAGTCCATGCACGGCATGTCTTCGGTCATATCTTCACTGACTAAAGAAAGGCATCGAATAGACAGTATGCCCAGCCTGCTAGCCAAATCATTGCTGATACTGGGATGTATAAAATGTTTTCCAACGAGAGAATTATTTTCCAGCCAAGGTGCATCATTATAAACAAGATCCCCCGAAGGCATCAGAAGTCCATGAGCATCTGGAATCAACAATGGACTGTCAAACGGCTCAATAAGTGGCTTCTCCGAGCAACATTCTACTATGGCTTCAAGGACACGATGGACAAAATTTAACTGATCTAATGAAAGAGGAACCCCTTTTACATCGTTCTGCAGCCGTTGTAATACATGAAGATAGTCCCTAATACCAAAACTCAGTCTGACACCCAGTTTTATCAGCAAATCTTTATATTCTGATAGTTCAGATGGAACAACATATAAATATGGAGTGAATTTTACAGGCGAGTCAAATGCAAGTGCATTTGGTGAGACAAATTCATCTCCAATCCAGACCCATGGAATATCATCCAATTCATGCTTCCAGTTCAACAAAGTCAT